TTGACTAGTCTTCCGAGTGAGCAAGCTCGGGGTTTGAGAACACTGTCCTGAGTGGTGGGGCCAAACTCGCCCTCCTTGCTGACTGAAACAGGCCTGCACTGGTATTCAGAGGGCCTTGTGCATTCTGACCCAAAGAGTACTTGCTGCATGGAGGGATAAATAGATGAATGGATGAACTAACAGATAAAAGATGAAATGGGTGGTATTGTACTGTACAGGGTAAGAATGCAGCAGGCCGGGTGTCTCCTCCTCTGTGAAATGGGTATAGGGATCTCCTCCTAGATCGAGTGAGAGCTGAATGACATACTATGGAAAATGACTAGCTCTGCCCATGGTAGGACGCCTCTCAATAGAGCTGTCTTGGGAGCTGCTTACAGTCTTGGGATTTCAGCACCCGTGTCCATGGTGACATACGACCCTAGTGCAGAGGTCCATGTGTGGCCACAGCTGTGTGCTTATGGAATGCTTACTGTCCTGGTGTTTGCTCCTCTTACCGAGCAGATCACTATATAAGCAACTGTGCCCAGAGTGAGGTTTCAGGTTAGGATGTATGTTTCACGGGTCCTGTGTGGATGGCCACCCCTGGGAAGAAGCCTGCAAGTGTCTTTCAAGCTGCCAGGAGTGGCATCTTCAGGGAAGGGGCTCTTGGCAGTGGTGACTGGTAGGTGGGGAATTATCAATCCACTTAAACTTTATTTTCCTGTACAGATTTGTATTTTGTAATTTTTTAAAAAGTGAATGGAGGCCAGATAAGGGAGCAGGGACCTTTAATCCTAGCACTTAGGGGGCAGAAGCAAGCAGATCTCTGTGAGTTGGAGGCCAGCCAGGTCTATACAACAAGTAGCAAGTTCTAGGCCAGGCAGGGCTACATAGTGAGACCCTGTCTTTAAAAAATTAAAATGAATAAAATAAAAGTATAAAGGAAAGCTTTTCAAAGATAATGCTCACGAGACTACATTATTTTAAGGAAATAGGCTTCTGGGTGGTTCTTTTTTAAAAATTGTCCTATTTTCTAAACATGCCTGCATTGTTTGTGTAACTCCCTGTGCTGGAGCCCAGCTCTCCTTTCTAGTGAGGACAGAAGACACTCAGTGTGGGTGCCCAGGTCCTGAGAAAGTCAGGAAACCCCACACACACACACACACACTGGTTTTAAAAATAATCACAGATTCCAATCAGTAGGCGAACTTAGCAGATTTGTTATAAAATACTAGAAACAGCTGTTTTCAAATACCTGCTTTTTGGACCTAACTGGAAAAAGCAGCTGGGTTCTTGGGGTGTCAGGCTTCCTTGTCCATATGGTATAAGAAAGAATTTGGGGTTTCTTTGGAGCTTGGGGGTGAGCAGGAGAGGGTGGCTTGTGAAATTCTGAATGGATGCTCGCACTTCAAGGCACACTGCCTGCATGCTGCTGCTTCCCTGGGCCTCCTGGGGTCCCAGAAATGGATTCTCTAGTGCTGTTATGGGAACTCTAAGAGACTATAACTTCCAATTAAGATGACATGCAGAACGCTTAGTTCTTTCTTGATCCCTTGTGGAAAGTACTTGGCAAATTCGAGCTGGAGCTGAGGCTTTTAATCAATTGATCAAGGAACATTGTGGAACGCCTACTGGGAGGGCTGAGTGGAACTCTGCTTCCCAACAGTTGATCAGGGAATATTGCTGAGTGGAGCCCAGTGAGGGAGGGGTTTGAGCTGCAGGCCTGTGTAAGTACACTGAGTGGATCTCTGAAGCCCCACCCTCTCTATTGTGTGAGGGAGGACCTCAGAGGTCATAGCAACCATGGGGCAAATTTTGCAATCCACAGCCAGGGTGAGGAGAAATGTCCAACAGTGAAGGAGCCCTCCACAGGTGTGAGAGCAGGCTGCCTCGGGCATTTCTGTCCCAGGAGTGTCCCATAAAGGCTTCTCCTCTTGGTGATTTGTGGGGAGTTTAAATAGAGGAGTAGGGAAAGAAAGGGACCTCGTCTTTTGGAATTTTAGCACAGCTCCAACTCCGAAAGGAATAATGAAGTGCCTGATGACACTGATGGTCTTGGAGGATTGGCCGCTGTCCAAACCCGTTTTCTGACAAAGAGATCACTGATGCCTGCTGTCTCCAGAGTGTCCAGTTAGCTTGTTGAGGGAGTAATAGTACAGACTACAGCCAACCTTGTTTAACCTGTGGGGCTCCTGATGCCAGCAGCTGCTGGGAACATTAAGCATCATTTTGAGAGGACCTGCAAGGTCCATCATGGTCGCCCTCTCCCGTGCTTACAGCTGTCCTAGAATAGTGGGGTTTGGGGGCACTGTTTTACAGGTGGTGAAACTGAGGCACAGAGAGGAACATGCTTACCAGATATCGCCAGGCAAGCAGAACCTCTCGGCAAGTTTCAGGCTTGTTGGAAGAGAATGCCACCTTTGAAAGGAAAGTGTGACTAATGTGTTAAAATGCATTGTTCTAAAGGGCTGCCCAGGCAGTGATGGATTCTGAGGCAATGCTGAGCCTGTTTGTTCTCCAACCCCAACAGGCCTAGCAGTCCATAAGCAGAGATCAGGTAGTGAGTGGGTGGTGATAGAGGAGGAAAGGGAGGAGTAACCGGTGGGATGGCTTTCCCCATTTAGAAACGGACAAGCAACAGAACAGGAGGAAATAGTCTTCCCAGGAAATATTGACTGTAAGCGGGGACAGTGTGGGAATTTCAGGCATTCTGGCTAGACTGAGGGGGTTACAGAGCTCCCCAGGACTCAGCTATCAAATTGCCTAAATGATGATGCATTTACCCCCACCCAGGGTTGCCTCTTGCATGCTGCCACTTGCTGCCCCCACCCTCCCATGCCTGTGTACCAACAGTGCACAGACAGACTTATCTTTGCACTGACAGACTTATCTTTACTCCTGTGGGCCAAGGAAGCAGGAAGACAGATTTAGAGATAGAGACATAGATTCCTGTGAGTGATGAGGTTGCCCAGCAAGAGCCCTCAGGTAATCCTGACCACTTAGGCAGTTAAATCTTGACTGTGTCTTAATGTTCCATTTATTGGTTTAGTAAACCATTTATTACCCCCACCTCCCCCACTTATTCCTATACTCTTTGACTCATCTTCATCACTGGGCAATGTTCTTCCAGGATAATTGGCAGCAACAGATAGAAAACCCTTAAAGTTACAGCAGCAGTTTGCTGCCCTCAAATTCTGTCACCAAGAGTCACAGGTGTATGCCATTATGTCTGGTTTATGTGGTGCTGGGGATTAAACCCAGGGCTTCAGTAATGCTAGCCAAGCACTCTTCTGACTGAGCTCCATCTCCATTCCTCTGTCAGTGCCTCTAGGGCTACAGAGATGAGTGTTTAGGTATATTCTGCAGTGAAATGACCTCTTAGAGGTCTGTAGTTCTGCAAACTAGAAATCACTAGATGAATGACCAACTGTGTTTTTCTTGGACATCACTCTTAAATCCTGGCTTGGCTTGGAGACCTGCCCAGAGCCCCAGAGCTGTAACTAGCAGCAGTGATTTTCGTAACTGCCATGTGGTGTGTCTCACTCCCTTCTATGGTGGGACCAATACAAGGAGAAGCTAGCTCACTTGTGAAGTGCTGATAGGAGCCTCCCTAATTCTGGGTAGCCCTCCGTCAGGACTGTGTGCTATCCTTCATCCGTGCAACACAAAAATAAAAAGATTTGTTTTTATTTATGAGTCTGTAACTGTGTGAGTGTCTTCAGGTGCTCACAGAATTCAGGAGCTGGAGTTACAGGTGTTTGCCAGCCTCTCTATGTGGGTGCGGGGAACAGAACTCAGATCCTCTGGGAGAGCAGTAAGTATTCTTAACTGCTGAGCCGCCTCTCCAGCCCCACTATTTTAATAAAGAAATCCTGTGTGTTGTAGAGCTACACAGCCGAGCACCCATGATTTTGATCCCTTGCCATTCACAAGGCTTTTCACACATACACAGACTTCTAAGTAGGAATTTCCACAGCTCCCCCTCCCCCCAAACATGGGATAGGAAACTCTTAAAGAATAACCCTTGCATCACCTGCATCCTGATGACCTGGTGTGCTGGTGAGAAAAATGTAGATTGCTGTTGTCTCTCTTCCAGACAGATTCTCTGATGGAAGTGCCACCCAGTCTCTTGCACCCATGGTGGCTTGTCTGCACAAGGGGTGTGAGAAATGAGAGACACTGGAGTTGAGTGGCAGGTGCTGGTGGATGGAGAGCTCCTCGGGCTACTAGACAATAAGTTCTTACCTGGTACACTTCCGGTGTTATGTAGGGAGTGGTGAGACACTGGTTGTTCCCATGTGGGTGCTCTTGGGGCCTTTAAGAGCCCAGCTGGGTGGTCCATGGAGAGGAGTGTGGTCTTTTCAGTTGGTTGGTTTCCATCTGCCTTGAGCCCTGGTGTTGTTCAGGAACCAGAACCTAGCAGGAAGTGAAAGGGTTTGGTTCCAGAAGAATCTTTGTTGGCACAGGATTTGACCTGTGAGATTATTCAATAGAGAGCCAGGTTAGATAAGCATGTGACTCGGCTGATGGCCAACAAGAGTGACAAATGTAAGAATGGTAGAGGGAACCGGAGGGGATAGGTTCACTCCGGGGGCATCTCACTGGCTGCAGGAGGGGCCTGGTAGAATAGCATCACAACTCTAGGCCCTGGCCTGCAGTTCATTCTGAAGACTGACCAAGCTAGGAAAGCAGGAATCTGCCACACAGCTTAATGTTGCTCATACAGAATGCCTTTTAGAGTACTGGAATCGAACAACCCAGAACACACAACTAAGGTCACAGCCAATGGTGACTACCAGTGTTAGCTTCAGAGGCCTACTTCATAACTCCAGCAGCATGACTGCATGGGGGTGTGAACGTGAGCGCCAGGAAATATTTACTCTATAAAATTGCCTGGTTTTGAATATTAGGAAGGGGAAAGGGACCAGTAGGGGGGAAGACAGAAGGTAAAAGGGGGCGAACATGATCAAAGTACATTATTTTCATGTATGGAAAGTGTCGTAGTAAAATTCTATTGTTTTATATAGTTATATATGCTAATTTAAAAAAAAAACAAATTTTCCTCCAAAACAGTATAACATAGTGGCTTTGAATAGAAATAGTGATGAGAAATTTGGCTTCAGTTCCTGTTCTGCTCCTTACTGCAACTTCTGGAAGGCACTTAAGCTCCCTGAGCCTCAGTTTTCTCATCTGTGAAATGGGGCAGTAATGCTGGCCTCAGAGCTATTTGTTAGACTTGAATGGAGTTAATCCAGTCAAGCACTCAGCCAAGTGCTCTGTGAATGGGCTGGGAAGGGGAAATTGACATCATTGGCTATAGCTCTGGGTGTACAGCAAGATTCTCTGCTTATTTGGCTGCCTGACTCAAACCACACACAGCTAACCAGAGCACATCTATTGCTATTTAATGGGCTAAGAATGGAGCTATTGTAACTGAAAAACTGTCTACCTTGGGAAATCCTTTGTTCCTTGAAGGAATTATCCACTGCTTATCCAAGGGAGAGGTTCCCAAAATAGGAGTCTGGCAAGAGATCTGCCATTCAGTTGTTTGTTTTAGAGTTTTGTTGTTGTTGCTAAGTAGTAGGTTATTAGGAGATAGATGTGTAGTGGGGAAGAGCGCTTGGCAATGTGCTCATGGCTCTTTTACTCCCCCTTTTCCTTCACAAGGTCCAGACAACATGCTTTGCTATTGGCTAATAATGGTTACTGTATATTGGGAGCTCACTCCACACCCCTGTATTGGGCACATACACTTTCCCTTGTCTGTGTGGCATCATCATGGCCCCCATTCCGTTTCCTACATAGGGAAACTGAGGTCAGGTACCCTGTGCAGGGTCACATATCTAATGTGCAGATAGAGAGCCGTCTGGCTCTACATACAAAATGGGAACCCTTGGGCATGAGGACAGCTATGAGAAAGACTTTGTCAAATGGCACATGGGGACAGGAGGCCAAGGAAACACAAGGATGTTTGCCACTCTGGGGCTACTTTTGAACCACTTCCCTTTACTACGTATTGACCAGCTTGTGACCTTTAGGGCTTGGCCACTGGCTGATTCCTTTTGTAGTTTTAAGACTCAGCAGCAGGGTGTCCTCCCACCGTCTGGAAGACCACCCACAAAGTTCCTCTGGAGTCAAAGTGTGGAAAGCCTGCTTTTCTTAGGTGGCCTGAAGACACACACACCCTCGGGGTCATTTGTTTCACCTTCTTTGTTTCTATGGGTGTCTTTGAGCTCAGCCAAAACCTACAGGAATGGCTTTTCATGTTGAATGTGTAAGAATGAAAAGCAAATGATTCTCTGTCCCGGTTTAGGGTTTCCTTTCTTCTCTCCTTGTCCACACACCCTCGGGGTCATTTGTTTCACCTTCTTTGTTTCTATGGGTGTCTTTGAGCTCAGCCAAAACCTACAGGAATGGCTTTTCATGTTGAATGTGTAAGAATGAAAAGCAAATGATTCTCTGTCCCGGTTTAGGGTTTCCTTTCTTCTCTCCTTGTCCCAAAGTATAGGGTGACATGGTGTCCCAGTTTTTTTTTTTTTTTTTTTGCCAGATCAAAGTTTAGATATGATGCAGTGTTCTTCCAGTAAAAAGCATCCCTAATTAATTTAGGCAAATGGTAACCAAATCAACTGAGCAATTTTTACAGTAAAATGTGCCCCAGCCTTAGCATTTCTAAAATTAGGCTCTGAAAAAATGTCATCGTTGTTGGTGGAGGAGTGGTAGTCTTTGCTTTGGGTGTTAAATTGGCAGGAAGAAAATATTAAGTAGGGAGTTGAAGATAATCTTGCTCCTTGCAGGCTGTCGGGATGGGTAGGTATGGATGCCATGTGTGCAGGTGGGGGTGAGGTGTAGGCAAAGGCATAGAATTTTCCTAAAGTCAAAATAAAATTTATGTTTTGCTGAGCTAGAGAGTAATTAACCTGGCATAAGTTTGATATCTGATTATTGGATTCTCCCTCCTACCCCCAGGGAAAGAACCCGAGAAAGACACAAATCTCCACGGAGTAAAGATGGCAGAGGGTCAGAAAAGTCTGTCACTATCCAGGCTCCCACTGGAGAACCCCTGCTGGCAAATGACTCTGCCCCCACAGGCGCAGAGGAAGTTCAGGTAAGGATCAAAGGCACCACTGTGGGCAGGCTGCCACTCAGCCCCGCCTCCTCTACAAATGTTTTCCTAAGTCTTGTTGCCCTAAGTTCTCTTGGGTTTTTAATCTTTATTTTTCCAGCATCTTAATGAGTTTCTCTACTCCTCTGGTTTTCTTGCTGATCTAAGGACAACATGTCCTACCATTGGGTAGCTGGGGTCCTTCTGAAGTGTCATTGGTTGGCCTCCTTTAAATGATGTTGGAAAGAAGCCAGCTTTGCTGATGACAGAAAAGGGAAAAGTTACAGGCAAGAGTCCCCGAAGACTCATTCCAAAATGGAATGGGACTGGAGAGGGCAGGAAACTCCCTCTGCAAAAGACACCTAGGGAATGCTTGACATTGACGTGAGAAGTCCGCCCAAAAACTGGGTATATGAAAGAAATCAAGGCCCTGACTTTCAGATGGCAAGCATGGAAATCTGAATGCGGTAACTAGAGTCAAAGATCAGTGTCAGAAATATGTCCAGCAAACTTTAGGGTTAGTAGCTGTGGTCTTTGGGGTACCTTAATGTCAAGGCTATTGGGTTGGGGCTGGGGCAAACTGGAAAATGGGTTTCCTCTGTCAAGAGACAGCAACTTCTCTGCTAACTCAGGACTTCAGGACTTCAGGGTTAATAGGCCTTGCATGTTTCAGAAATATTAGCATTAGGACTTCATACAAAGTCAATCAATTTTAAAACATCAATACTTTATTACTTAAAAACAGTGTGTGGGATCTTCGTTGAGTTCTTACTGCCTGGCAGCCTAGTTGATTTAAATAAATATCTGAGCTATACTCAGAAGTATGTTTGCACACCCCCACATCTGAAATGTTGCATGCCCAGCCTTGCCTCACATAAACAAAGCAATGTATGAATACACAGCCATAAATATACAGAAATAGAGATAAGCATATACCCATGCACACCTGTAGGTACCTACAGATAGGCATTTATAATCAGATAGGAACACAGAAACTACAATCCCATATAGGATACAGATGCTACTGAGACTCATAACTATGCTTTATCACTAAATGTGGGGTTTTTTCAGTAGGGAGCAAATTCCTTTAATATTATAGTGCTGCTTGCTTGGTTCTAGGAAGATGTATGTATGTATGTATGTGTCGAAGGATGATGCATGGGTGGATATGGTCAGTCTTAGGACTGGACAATCCTTAAAAGCTTCATGGATCAGATTCCTCCTGGACCTAGATTCAGAGGTATTAGTAACCTACCATGAAGGCATTTCCTTCTTTGTGCCCTGAGCTCTCTGGGAAGCCATTGATGCTTACAGCAGGATGGTGTGATGGGAAGGACTTTTGGAGGTTGTGTGTTTCAGCAGCTGTGTTAACTTTGGGAACTACAACTTTTGTAGTTCCCAAATCTAGGGGATTAGATTGGTGAAGGTCAAATGCATTTTTTTTCCTCCGTGAAGACCTGAAATTTGAGAGAGAAGCCTTTGTACAGCTATACTTTTTTTTTTTAAAGACAGAGATGTGCATAAGTTCTTAAAATGAACAAGGATTTAGTTAGCAACTCATTGGCAGGAATTTGGATTTACAGCTGAGTCAGAACAGTGGTATTACACAACAAAATGTCCACATGGTATCAGTAATGGTTACCTCAGCAGGGATATCAGTCACATGCACAGAACACAGCATCTCTCTCCCCTGAGACGTTACTACAAAGCCAACTGTTTCCTACAGCCTGTGAGCTCGTCTTATATTACAGCAAGTTGTATGTCTTTGTGGTTTGTTTTCTCTTCATGATCTATTGTCTTTTTAAACTGACCTAAATTTACATGCAGAAATCAAATAGTTCTCAAGGGTATGCTTTGATAGTTCCAACAACAGATGAACCCACACCCTTTAGCACAGAAAATTCTCCCGGCTCTTCCTAGTTGATCCCAACCCCATCCCCACCTCTCCAGGGCAACCACTATTTTGATTTTCATCTCAGTGGATTGGTTTTGCCTGCTTGGAGAGTTGAATATAATTGGAATCATATGAGTTTTTCCCCACTCAGCATGATGATTTTGATATTTATCCATGGTCTATGTGTTTCAACAGTTCACTCTTTATATTTTTGCTGACTAGTATTCCAATGAATTGACCACAGTTTGTTATCTGTTCTCCTGATGAGAGGACATTTGAGTTACACACATTCTAACTCTGATGGATTAAGCTCTTATGAATGTTTTTATAAGTCTTTGGTGGACATATTTCCATTAACTTTTGGTACAATCTAGTAGTCTAGTTGCTGGGCCATATAGTTAACTGTATATCTAAATCACTGTGAAAGTGTCAGGTCAGTTTTCTGGCAGTGTTAAACAATCTTAAACTTCCACGAGCAGTGCCTGAGGGACCTGGCTGCTTCTAGTCATTGTCTATGGTCTAAATCATTTCTTAGCCCAGACCTTTTAAAACTTAAATATAATGATTTTATTAATTCTTTGAAAATGTCATGTGTACATACAATGTATATCATATTCACTCCTCCCAATAACTTCTCCAGGGTTCAGTCTCAAGTTCTCACTGCCTCCCAACTATGCAACCTCTTTTTTTTTTTTTTATTAAGAACTTACCTAGTAAGTGTGTATTGATGTGAGTCTTCCACTGGAGCATTGTCAGCCTACCATAGGCCAAGCCTTTAAAGAAAACAAAACTGACTCTCCCTCCTCCAGAATCCATTAACTGTCAATAGCTCCTCAGTTAAGATCGGGGGCTCTTTGTGAACCCCTTCTCTGCTCTGTGGGGGAATGTTGCCTGGCTTGATCTTGTACAGGCAACCACAGCTGCTGTGAGTTCATGAGTACAAGGTCCTATCATGTTCCAAAGATACTGTTTTTCCTGTGTCCCCCCTGACTACTGGCTCTTACAGTCTTTTTTTCCCCTGTTCTGCAGTGGTTCCCAGCCTCCTACAGAAGGGGTGTGATACAGATGTCCCTTTTGTGACTGAGTAGCTTTTTGTTTTTATTCTCGTTCTGAATTTCTGTGTTGTCATCTAATACACAAAGAAAGCTTTCTGATGCAATCTGAGAGCTACACTAACCTGTAGGTAGAGAGATGTGTATGTCCACTTAGTAGAATAGTGAAAGTGGTGCACCCTTGAGATCTGTGAACTCCCCAGCCCTGGTTCTGGGCCAGATTGGCTTTAAATCCCATCAGAAAGCAGCTGGTTGACCTCATAACATTCATGCCACTGTTTCGGCCATGGGTATCTCTTCCTACACTGGTTATTATTATAACTCACAGCTGAGTTAGACTATTGATGACTCCCCCCTCTCCCGACTTCCCAGTAGCCTGAATAGCGTCTTCCTGCTCTATGAAAACTAGCCAGCAGGGAGGAAGATTCCTTGTCAGTGCCTACTTGATTTTTCCATTTCCTATGACATCAAGTTCTGGTGGGCACAGCTAACACTGGGCTTTTTATTTGGTAACCTGTGGCTTCTGGGAGGAGCTTTATGCCTTGTGTAGGATGATTACAATTAAGCTCTTTTATATGAGTATACATGTGTGTGAAGTCTGTAAAACAGTAGTTGTCCGTCCCCCACTTAAACTTCCCTTTCCACCTCTCCTTCCCCCCTCCTATCACCTGTATCCTTCAGCCCTACTCCTGTAAGATCTTTCTTACTCCCTACCGGTGGTCCCTCTGTAATTTCCCATATTCTGTGGGTACTTCCAATGAAGCACACACATCCAAGTATGCATGAGAATGTGATTTGATTGATTATGAGTGATCTATGCTTCTCTTTTATCCAGTTACTGAAACTCCATCTATCATAAGCTAATGTCCTCATTCCACCACTTGGCTACTATACGACTGTTTTTTCCCTAGTGAAATTGTAACACGTTGGAGCTCACATGATTTCTGGTGCCTCCTGCCTCTTTTGTGCCCTCAGATGGAATCCTGGTTGCCAGTGAAACAGCGGAAGTATTTAACAGACTCTTGTTGAATGAGCAGGCCAAGAAGAAAGCAATGGAGTTAAAGATATAATAACCCTGATATTCTTATGCCCTTGCTGTTCACTTTGTCATGGAAACATGTTTTATGAAGAATTTTTGAGCCGATCTGGCCATAGATAGAGTTTTGAATTTTCTTTACTTAGTCAATGAGAAATGATGTCAAAGAGTTCTTAGCACTGCTCCTTAACTGAGGTAAATCCTATAAATGTCTTCTAGAAGTTTGGATAATGTGTGATTCAGCTGTGGGTGAGTTTGATCTCCTGTGATGTGAATTCCTTTTTTATGCCCTCTGCTCTACAGAGCTGCTGAAGGATCTAGATGAACTTAGCATGGGAGGGGTTCACTGTTGTAGTGGTGGGTGCTGTTCTGTAGCAGATTCACTGTGATTAAGTCTAACTGCTGTTAGTCAAGTCAGAGCAGAAGGGCCAGGCCTCTGAGCTTCTCAGAACATGAGGGATGACACCGTATCATAGTGACAAATTGCCCAAACCAATTCAAAGGTTAGACTGAGTTTTCTGTATTCAAAGGACAAAACATAGAATACATTTTGAACATTTTACTGAAAACTACTAAAGTTTAAAAACACCCCTGTAGGACCGGGCATTGGTGGCTCACGCCTTTAATCCCAGTACTCGGAGGTAGAGGCAGGTGGATGGATCTCTGTGAGTTCGAGGCCAGCCTGGTCCACAGAGTGAGTTCTAGGACAGCCTCCAAAGCAATACAGAGAAATCCTGTCTCAAAAAAAAAAAAATAAATAAATAAATAAAAATAAAAAAAAATTTAAAAGCCCCTGTATTAAAAGCTGATTCTATTTCCATTTTTGAGAAAGTTGGGTAACTGAAATGTCTTTCTTTTCTGTTTGATTTTGTTGTGGCTTTTACAAATCACTCTCACTGTCTTCTCTGTCATCAGGATGACAACTGGGGAGAGACCACCACAGCCATCACAGGCACCTCAGAGCACAGTATATCCCAGGAGGACATTGCCAGGATTAGCAAGGACATGGAGGACAGTGTGGGGCTGGATTGCAAGCGCTATCTGGGCCTTACTGTCGCCGCATTCCTTGGACTTCTCGTGTTCCTCACCCCCATTGCCTTCATCCTGCTACCCCCGATCCTGTGGAGGGAGGAGCTGAAACCCTGTGGCGCCATCTGTGAGGGACTTCTCATTTCTGTATCATTCAAACTGCTTATTTTGCTCATTGGAACCTGGGCACTCTTCTTCCGCAAGCAAAGAGCGGATGTGCCGCGGGTATTTGTGTTCCGAGCCCTATTGTTGGTCCTCATCTTTCTTTTCGTGGTTTCTTACTGGCTTTTTTATGGGGTCCGCATTTTGGACTCTAGGGACCAAAATTACAAGGACATTGTGCAATATGCAGTCTCCCTTGTGGACGCGCTGCTTTTCATCCACTACCTTGCCATCGTTCTGCTGGAGCTGCGGCAGCTACAACCTATGTTCACACTTCAGGTGGTCCGCTCCACCGATGGAGAGTCCCGGTTCTACAGCTTGGGACACCTGAGGTAAGGGGCATGCACACTGAGCGAGCGGAAAGGATGACCTCTAACTCTGGAAGACATCTGGTCCTCAGCCGATGGGGCTGAGGTGCAGTCCTAGATACAGAGGCTGTGACTGGGGACTGACTAGTCGGGGCTGTGTGATGTCAAGGGGTGTCCATGCTTTTATAGTGGGGCTCTCGGCTGTGTTCCAGGTTTGTTAGGCTCGTTCCCAAGTAGCGCAGAAAAGGTAGGCATGGTGATGGCTACCTCCATTGACTGTAGACTTGGCTTATGGATGATGGATAAGTGACTGACTAGTGATTCCAATTTGTCCAAAATGATGCGTCAGGTACTCACTATAGCCATGTTTTGGAATCATCCTGGCTGTTTACTGGCAGATGAATGTATTAAAAAAATGTGATATATATATATATATATATA